CATGGCGATAGGACAAGGGGAAACAACCACAAACTGAAGCATAGGAAGTTTCACACAAATATGTGTAAGAACTTCTTCACAGTGAGGGTGATGGAACACTGGAACAGGCTGCCCAGAGAGGTAGTGGAGTCTCTCTGGAGAAGTTCAAGACCCGTCTGGATGCCTACCTGTCCTGGGAGCCTGCTTGGGCACGGGGGTTGGACTCAGTGATCTCTGGAGGTCCCTTTCAGCCCCTACAATTCTGTGAAATCTGTGAAATCTGCTATGCTTCTCTTACAGTGCTGATGAGCTGTGTAGGTACTGTCTGGTACCACAGTCCACAGAGAAGGACAAAGAGAGTAAATCCATGGTAGGGCAGAACATGTTTGTTGTCCGCTGGAACTTCATTTGGTGCAGACCTCCACCTTCTGGAGGTCTGGGGAGGGTTGGGGAAGTTATCAATTGCCATTTATATACTGTTTGTCTTGTTCTATTTGTGAAAATTGGTAATCTGTATCAATACTAAAGCATTCCCTGGAACTGCATACTTTTAAAATCAGTGCAGTGAAAGACTTAGTTGTTTGTCTTCCCAGCTGTAGACATCTGTATACACCGGGATTTTGATATTTACATGTTGCTTGTTACTAACTGCCAAGGTTAAAAAGCTGAAATTCTATTTTTCTAAAATTGCATTAAGCAAGAAAAACAAGACAGCATTTTGCAAGTTCACTCTTTGGTATTCATCCCCATTCACAGTGGGACTTTGATATTTTGGCCTCTAGATGCATGAATGGATGAACATTTTCAAAAAAAGTCAGACGATGCTATGGGAATGGTAGCATCTGCTATGAGATGGGGTTTCCCCTGAGTGAAACTTGCAGCTATGGCTGCTGAAGACACTGCATCAATGCTTTTCTTGCAAGCAGAAAACTGCTGTTTTTCTGTTGAGGTTAAAACCTGAAATGAGCTGGAAAATGAGAATCTTGCTTCCTGGGAAAAACAGGATTTTTCTACCCTGAGGAAGAACAGCCCTTGTGAGAGAGATTTGTCTCACAGCTGAAGGAAAGTTGGATAAATTGGGAAATACACTACAATCTGGATTTTGTTTTTGTTTTTTTTTTAAATTCTAAGTAAAAAGCAAACTATGGAAGGATTTTCTTCCACAAGCTTGTAAGCTTCAAAATATACAACATCTCCAAAATACACAACATGACGTAAGCAAGCTAAAATGTCAGGGGTTGTTTTGCTTTAGGTAAATCATGATCTTTATTTTTGTTTCAGTGCAGGTGATCACTTTGACCACTGAAGTGTTTGGCTTCTTAGACTCTCCTTAATACTTTCTTATCACTCTGGCCACAGAATTTGTATGTTGAATCCTCTAGCATCTTTTTAAACTGTGAAGCCTGTAAGAAATTAGTATAGATGCAGATGAGGGCAAATCAATGACAGCAGCTTGAATGGCAATGGAAAAAGTTGTGTGGAATTTGCAAAAAATCAAATCTACTCGACTTTTACAGATGCTGGATATATCAAACTCCTTTTAGGTTTCACTGAGGTAATGATACTATTTTCCTGAAATATCAACACTACACTTTGTAGTTTGAGAGCATAGCCTGGCCCTTCAGAGGAATGTCATTTGGAAAAAAAAAAAACATAACCACAATGTGTTAGTATGTGTTAGAGGGTTTTATTGTAGTTGTTTACCACAATTTCAAATAAAAGGCTGAGAATATAGGTCTAGCCTTATGTATTGGGGCGACTGGAACAGTTAATGCTGATGTGGTTGAGAGGGTCTTTGCTCTTTCTTCCCCCACAAAGCATCACCAGCTTATTCAGTTTGCCTCCCTTAGGTACAGATCCATCCCTGTATTAGGAATGTTGGGGTTCGAGCATTCTGAGAAGTGATCAGCTTCAGTGAGAAATTACCTGCTGGTGTTTGGTCCTGTTGGGTCTCTGCTCATGCTCCTTGCAGCTGGCAGCAGGTGTTTTCCCTGGCTGCTCTTCTGCCCACAGCCCACATTTGGGAGAGTGAAGGAGAAGTGCTGAGTTCTGGCACACTATCAAAAATGGCCGAGAAAGCCCTTGTATGCTGGAAGTACATTTTTAGGATAGCCCGCAATTCGCTTGCTGTCAAAGGCCAAAACTGTACTTGATAGCACTGCATAAACTTTGTGTGTCCACCTTTTATAAATTCAAGATGTATACATAAATTCTTTTTTTTTTTTTTTTTTTTTTTTTTTGTCTTGATCAGTAGATTGTTCACTGTAGGAGATTTCAGGCACTAAAATGCTTCTCTGTAATCTTTTTCTCATCATCTGTATCTGTCAAGGCAGCATCCTTTTTGCTCTGTTTTGATCGCCCTCTGATTCTGTCCTGCATTTTGCCTGTACTGTGAACTCAAGCTATCTCTAGCTGAATTACAGAGGGCACTTCATATGAAATCAGGTAGAAGATGTACTGGCTCTTCACTTTTCAGAATAAATAAATAAATAAACCTTTTGAAATCACCATGATTGGACTAGAATGAAGCTTCAGGATGACTTATTACTCAGCTGTAAGATGGTTATAATTTCTGACTCTCAACTCTGCAAACTTCTACCTACTTTTTGATGCTTGTGATAAAAGCAAAAATAGTTTAATGGAGAATGTTGGACAGTTTACACACTTTAGTAAGGAAGCAAGGGCAGATCAGGTGTAAATAACTGGGAGTTGAGATACTTTGTGAGATATGAGTACTAAAATGATATAAAATTTAAAGAAGCAAAGCTACTGTGCAAACAGAAGTGAGGAACAAACAGAAGTTACAGATCCAAGGACTTGGGTCAAAGGTGGGAAACTTCTGCAAAAATCTTCATAAACAAAAAGAATGCCTTAGAAGAGGCTTCTTTGGTAAACTGAGCATGGGTAAAGGCCTAGGTAGGAAGCATGGTGCTTTTTAGTAGATACAAGTAGGTACTTGCCCCATCCCTGGCCCCATCCAAGGCCAGGCTGGATGTGGCTCTGGGCAGCCTGGTCTGGTGGTTGGCAACCCTCCACATAGCAGTGGGGATGAAACTAGATGAGCATTTTGGTCCTTTTCAACCCAGGCCATTCTATGATTCTATGATTCTATGGTTCTATACTTCTGGAAAAGAAAGTAAAATAGCATTGAACAAAGAGTAGTTTTGAAAACCTTTAAAAAAAACAAACAGCTGAGGAACTCAATGTATCACCACCTTACTTCCTTCTCACTGAGATAATCTGTGTACTCCTGTTGCACAGGAAAATGCAGGAGAACAAGAGCTCATAAAAAAATACCATTTTTCTCTGACAATCTTGGGCAATTCTGTAGATTCTGAAAGTGTTTTGGCTATTGCTGTTTTTAATGAAAAGTTGTTGTAAGCAGATATAAATAAACATACAAAACCCCTAAGAGGTTGAAGTCTTCTGTCAAAGTATCTCAAGGGAAGTATCTTAAAATTTGTGTTCTGTCAGAATTTGGATGGTTGTACTGCAATGTAGAGACTATAAATATGAAATATCTTCCTCAGTGTTCACTCTCACAAGACCCAAATTGCTTCAATGCTATTCATCTGCATTCGTGTGAACGGGTGAAACCAGCTGTCAGCAATAACTTAGCATTAACTGCTCTTTGATTAGTATAATGCACATTTCTAGATAGTGTAATGCTCAGTTGTGTATATCAGAGCTTTCTAAAGTGAAGAATTAATTCCACATAACATCTCTGAGAAGTGCTATAACTAATGTGAATGCTGTTTTATCATCCGTGTTAAGTGTATGTATTGACTACACAAATTCTCTGAGAACAAGAAGGGAGTTTAAAGAGAATTGGGAGCATAATAAAGGCAGTGCTTATTTACAGAAAGGCAGCTGCACTCATTCACTGTTGACTTAATAGTCAGGCAGAGATTTAGGATTGAGGGACAGATGCTAAGATTTTCTCTACCTTGCTGTAAAATCTCCTCATGTTAGTATAGCCATATACTTATGGTACTTATGGGTTCACTGTTTTCTCTGTAGTACTAGTACAAAAGGTATTTCATGGAAAGCCCCGGGAACCTTTAAGATTCATTGGATTGCACATGGTGTAGCACTCACACCTCAGGGACCTTCATGAATGCTGCAAGTAAAGCAGGATTAGATGAGTTAACTCTGATGAGAAAGCAGTGAAATCAAGAAGTGGAGAAGGAAATAGATTGGAAATGTAGTCAGCATGACCTCGATTGTTAAAACTGGTGTACCCAAGTGCTCTCAATCTAAGAGGCTGCCACTCCACCTCTGGTACCTCACATACAGAGCAGTATATCTGAAATGAGGCACATCAGGGTGGATTGATGGCTGCATCTCTGGACCTTCTATGGGCAGGGACTATTCCCTGCACAGCAAATTCACAAGTGCAATCTGCTAAGGAGATACATCAGCTTAATTACATTTCTTTTTCTGACCCAAGTCAAACATACCCTTATTAACAGAGAGGATTTGGACTATGTTTTTTCTGTGAAAACAAAGTAAGTTATTCCTACTGAGAAATGCTGCCAAGATACTTTTTCTGCTGTGTCTGCTAATGAACAGGACAGCAGGGCTGATTTTCTCATGTTAAGCATTCAGGTCCTATTGCCTGTGTCAGTCCTGAAAGATACGTTGAGAAGTTAACTTGGGCTGACTGCCTGATCTGTAGGGATACTACATGTTAGTGAAGTCCTGTACATAAATGTTTTAAGTTTTGTAATTTATGTGTCCTCTACCCTCTCTAATGACTCCAGAACAAGGTATCTTGCTTGAGTTGCCAGACAAGCTAGCCTCTCTGGAAGGTCTTGAGGCAATTAACCTCTCATTTCTACTGAGGTACCTGAATTTGTGTGTATGATTGGAGTATGTGAATGTTGTTGGGGAAAGGAATTCACAGAAGTGGTGTTAGAACAACACTGCAGGTCTGCTATGTAAGTTTATCTAAATATATCCTTTTCTCCCCCTTCTCTTCCCCTTCTCTTCCTCCCTTCTCTTCTCCCCTTTACTGTCAGGAAGGGCCACCTCTGAAGGTCCAATTCAGTACAGCCTGGCACCAACACAGACGGACGTCAACAGCAGTTACAACAGTGAGTCAATTTGCAATCAAGGAAGTCCTTGAAAAGATACTGTTTTATGTGCATGTGGAATGTGCAAGAATTCTGCAGTGGGCTCTGGGAGGAGGGGTGGAGAAGGTCTGTTGACCCGAGCTCCATCTGGTTGGAGCAGTTTGCAAATTTTTAATGCCTCACTAAAAGCATTGGGTAAACTTTTCCTGAAAGTCAGAGAGAGGGCTGATATGTGAGGGCTAGTGCAATTTTCTGACACAATAGGCTGTAAGGAGCTGGATTCTCCTCAGAGAAAACTGGCCACCAAGAATGCTTAAGTCACTTAGCACACTGCAGAAGAAAACACTTGAAGCCATGCATAACAAGACCCTCCACTGAATTATCACTTGCCTGCTCTTGTTCTGGGTGTAAGGGCTGCTAGTCTCAGATGACTGCAGGAGTACTGGTCTGCTCTAGGACAAGAAATTATATCCTTCATGCAGGTTTGAGGTAATTTAGCTGCTACTGCTTCAATTCTGTGGTGCTACCTGAGGCATCTGACAGGGAAAATGAACCCTTTCATGGTAAGTCTGCCTCAGTGGTTATGTACACACACAATGCTATCCAATGTTTGCAATCCCAGCTCTCAGTAGCTATCCAGTCATGATATGTTCTGCTTATGCCCATGGTGGTTTGGGGTGCTTTGGGGTATTGATAAGGAAAGTTTGCTGGACCTTTCTATGGAGGTACATATGTGGCTTAAAGCTCTAGAAATAAAGTCGGGACAGATGATGGTGATTTTTAATATAGTTTCTCTCCTAATAGTTACAGACACTGGAAGTATACTTGTGTGTACTCTACTTTTCATCTTACCTTTTCATGCAAAACTTTATCCTGCCTCCATCTACTGCCTTCTTTTCATAATTTGTGCTACAGACTTGGGTAATGAAAAATGTTAAATGACAGACATATTAATGAGAAACTGGTTTTAATTGAGCAACTGTTTCAGTAATTTCGGACAAGAATCATAGTGGATTTCTTTCACCTCTTTCAGGAGTGAATGGCACCTGAAAGATGTCAAGGAATTTGAAACCTTTGAAAAACTCAGTGATAAGGTGGAACCAGAGTCAGAAGACTTGAAAGGTTCAGTCCTCTGATGCATTTCTGTTAAAAGATGGTCTTTTTAGTTCATAGCTCTTACTATTAAGTAAAGACTTCAGGGGATCATGCTCCTTGTAATTTGGCATCCACCAGCTCTTCCTGGCAGTGAAGAGAGAACTTTTTCTGTAGGAAATTTAGAATTGTTTTCTTTAAATTTGCTGTGAGAGATCAAATAACTGGAAAAGAACAAAACAGGTATGAGTTATGTGTGAAAATGACTCTTTTTGGTACTCTTCCACACTTCTGTCATGCAAACAGATTTCGTGGCCCATGTATATAGTGTTGAGTGAACATCTGCTTTGGCAATGCCTGTCTCAGGAGGTTCAGTGGACAGGGCTGGCAGATGCAGGAGGCAGCAGCAGATGCAGGAACCTTGGCCTCATGATGGTGGGTTTCGCTGTCTGGGTAGCCACATCAGTTCCTGTGGTTACAGAGGCTACTGAGGCCACAGAGGCTGCAGGTCTGTGCCAGGTGGAGGCCACAACAAGTTCCTTGCAAGCAGCTGCTGTTGAGAGACAGTGCCCTCGCTCCCCAGCCATCACTCCTGTACAAACCTCTGGGTGCCAGGGACTGCTGAGGCCTTTCCTGTCTCTCGGTGCTGCAACTGACACTGCGGCTCTCTGACAGATGGTTATACTTCAGCACTGAGTGCCCCTGGTGTGCTGCCAATGGATGTGGCGACATCTCCAGGCAAGCATGATGTTATAGCATTTGCCCTGCCCTGATGGAGGAGAATCCATTTCCATTGGTTCTTCCTCTGGAGGTAGATCCACCTCGAAGTCACCTTCAAGTTGATCAGCATCTGTGATCTGGACAAATTCAAGGATGGTCATTGTCTGCATGAATAAGAGGAAGTGTTGGGTTCTGCACCGGGGATGGGACAGCTCTTGCTATGTTCAGTGTGGGAGACAAGTGGCTGGAGACCAGCCCCGCAAAAAGGGATCATAGGATTCTGTCTGACAGTGAGTTGAACGTGAGGCAGCAGTATGCTCTGGAGCCCAAAGGGCCAACCATACCCTGGGGTCAGCAGGCCCAGTGCTGCCACTGGGTGCCCCCCAGACTGCCCCCTCTGCTCTGCACTGTGAGGCCTCACCTACAGCACTGCGTGCAGGCTGGCTGCCGCAGTGCATGAAGGGCATGCAGCTATTAGAGGGTGTCCAAAGGAGGGCTGCAAATATGGTGAAGGGTCTGGAAGGCAAGGCTGTAGACAGGGAAAATAAAATTAATTACATGAAACAAAAAATGACACCCGATCCTCTGTGCTCCTGGCATGTGTCTTCCTCTTAGTGATTCCCTGTGACCCAAGATATTTGGCCTGACATCACAAAAATGCGGAGGAGCTTGTGTGCTAAAGGAGTAGTGGACAAGTGGATGATCTGGAGGAGATGAAATTTGGTGATGGTAAATGGAGACATGACCAGAAGGGATAAGATTGAGAAAAGATCCAGTGACAGCAGTTCTGGACTTCCAGAAAAGCAGTCTGGAGGGCTGAGAATGTCACAGTGACCTGGGTTTTAACTAAACTATCTGACTCCATTTGTGTACGCAGCCCACTCCTTTTTCAAAGTCAAGAGGACCAATGATACCTTCTATCCTAGACTGAGTGAGAAGACCTTATCTGTCATTTGTTTAAAACTGACCACCAGAGCTGTATAGTTTACGTCATCTCATACATTCATGTAAAGGTCAGATAAAGCAGTTGCAAACTACTGCAGAGTGATGGGGATTGTCCCTGTGGTTTCTAGCTGTGTTGTCTTCAGTATAGTTCTAATATTCTCCATGCATTTGCTAAACACTCAGTCTTTGAAAATACAGCTTTTTATCAATTTATTCAACCATATTTTTTAAAATTTTGCTGACAATCTATAAATAAAACTGTAATAATGTTATCATAAGTTATACTGAAATCTGATCTTCTGCTGCACAATGAACAATGGAAAATGTACAGCACAAACTAATATCTCATTGCTTTGTGACTCTTAAGCAAATAATTGGTTGTTTCTTCTTGCCATACTTTGCCTGATATACTTGAGTGAGTCATACCATGTTTTTCTCCCTTTTTGTTTTCTGTTGGTTTGTTTAAGTCCCACAGTTCGTGCATTCTGATGATTGAATCTGTAAACTATTGGTTGGAAGTGTTGATATCCTGGGCAGTACATCAAACCAGATGTTTAAGCAGCTGTACCCTTAACCCCATGAACAATTCTGTGTTAGTAAACATGTGGATATGGACCTTGAGATGAACAGCACGACTCACTGTAAAATTGCAGCATGTAGTTGAGGTATCTGGACATGCATTCATGCCAGGTGGATTTTAAAATCAAGCGTATATCTCAAAGATATCAGGCAGAGCACCTGGCGATTTTAAGCTAATGCAGATGTACTTCATGCTCAATGAGTGCATCTGGAGTGTAGCATATGGGGCTTGCATTTTCCAAGCTCTGGTTAGCAGTAGGAAGTAGCAACCGCCTCAGATACAAGAAGAGTCATGGTTTGGAAGAGGATGAGCTGTTATGCACTTTTGGGGAACATAATAGCCTCCAAAATACTTACCTTCTTTCAATTACAACATTATAAAATATCATATTTTCCTATTAGCTCATCTAGTCTTCAGATCTCTACTTGTCCAGCTCCCCTCTCCATTCCTTCCCTTTCCACTTTCCTTTCTTCTCTCAAGGGCAAGTAGATAATACTGTCCTTCTATACAGACCCTGGGGATCAGAACTAGAGGCTGCTCATTCTGACCACATTGCTCCTATTGTGTAGCTAAATTGAACCAGGCCAGATCCTGCAGTTGTCATTCCAAGTAAGTTTGCACAGTACTTAGAAAAGTGGTAGATGTTCTCCAAGAGCTTAAAGCCAGTGACTCTGATGCAACACTGTGATAAAGTCTAAGGCTCTTTCAGTGGGAAGAAGGTATTGTTGCATGCGTTTCTGTGATACCACATCCTCTACTCTTTTATTGTGTGTTTTCAAACTCTTCAGTCTCATTAGGTTTTGATGGACACTAGCTTTTGTCTTCTGAATATTTTCTTCTAATCATTCTTTCTTAGAGTGATGGGAATCTAAACTGAGAGACCATAAATTCCTGCTGTGCATACTGAGCTAGTAACTATTACCTGACACGAGGTCTGTGGGAAGAGAAAACAGCAGATAGACCAACATAGACAGATATAGATGTGAAAAACAAACTGATTTTATGACACATTAGTTCATATTCAAATCTGAAACAGCAACAGAGAATTTCAAGCAATTATGCTTCATTTTGGATTTCTTGGCTATTGTATTTTTCAGTTTAAGGCTGTCGTTCAGAATTTACTGAGGCTGGTTGGGTGGCTGCAATGGATTTTGGTAGGTTTGAGGATAAGTATCAGCAGGTTTAATAATTATACTATAGTTTATGTGTTTTTTCTTACTGTTTATGGCATGACTAGTGTGGGTTTTTATAGTGGTTGTTCATTAAAAACAAAACTAGGTGACTTGCTGAGGCATGCCAGATTTCTTTTCTGCTGTATGCCAGTGATCATTAATTCTGTTGGCACAATTCACAGGGAAAATTTAGCAAGTGAATCTACATTACCAGCAGTGCTACTGCAAGCTGATTTGTTATTACAAGAGCTAGACCCCTTAGACATTCTGTCCTCTGACTGTAATGCCTTCATTCTGTCAGCATTCTAATCAGGTCTATCACAATAGAAATGGAAAGGAAAATCTTCCATGGGAGTTTCCTGCCCACGATTTTGGCATTAACAAGAAATAATAGTGCAGTCCCTTCCATTACAACTTCTGATTTCAAAAGATTGGTTTTGTTTAATTTAATGGAAGCTGCTACAGAAGTGTCACTGGCACAAACTTTGATGTCAAGATTTGCACAACAGCAGCTACTAACAGAGTCC